AACCGAAATACCGTCAATCAAATTCCCGACGTCAAATCCGATTCAAATCCGACAACCATAATCCCGACTATATCAAAATCCCGACTATATTAAAATCCCGACAACCATAATCCCGACTATATCTCGGGATTTTGATATAGTCGAGAATTCAATATAGTTGGGATTTTGATATAGTCGGGATTATGGTTGCCGGGATTACAGTTGTCGGTATTTCGATACAGTCGGGAATTCAATATAGTTGGGATTTTGATATTGCCGGGATTATGCTTGTCGGGATTACGGTTGTCGGGAATTTGATTGACGGTATTTCGGTTGTCGGGCTTGCGATTGCCACCGTACAGACGACCATTGGCACACGGCTACGGCCGCCCTCTGTTAGCAATTGTTACAAACAAATAAGATAGATCACGCGGCAGACATGTTGAGAAACGCTGATCGAGGCTATTAGGTTGGCTACCATGTGATTGCGTATTTCAAATAAGAAGAAAAATTCAAAATTTTTACTTATAAATAAAACTTTATTCAATTATTAGGTATTGTCCGATTTTGTGGAAGTCTTTTTGTCATCTTTCTGCAATCTCACGTGTTGTGCTATGACGATCTGAATCGATGATGGCCTTGATATGGGTGTCTTCAACTTCAACTGTTTTTCAGTGAAACATCACCAGAACGAAATTTGGCGAACACTGCCTTTCTTTCAAGACTTCATTCCCATAAACGGCACACAACTTCTTGTGCGCTTGCGATGCGTTCTTGCCTATCCGGAAATAATACAACAACAATAAAATATGCGCGTATTGTTCTTCTATTTTTAAATTGAAATAAAAACAAAACTAAACACAATTTTTGTTTACTAAATTAAAGGTGGAAGTCCAAACAACAAGAAAACACTTGACACTTTGACAAAACAAAAGAATGTGTCAAGACCACCTATTGATAAAATCCGCAATCACTTAGTTTCCAATCCGATATAAGTGACAATTTTAGAAAAATTAAAGTGGCTCCAATTGGAACGAATAAGAAATAAATATATGTTTGTGTACATTAAGTTAGATAAGTTTTAGTTAAGTAAATTTGGTTGCCTATACTAGATCACGAAACTCGATATTATTAAATTATATAAAATGCTTTAAAAATACGCAACTTGCAAACGTACTTCGAATGAAACTTTGTATATTGCGAATTTCACAATATTCATCAAATTATTTGAATGTACTTAAAAATAAGTGCGAAAGAGAAATGATTCTCACTCACAAGTTCTGATTTTTACTTACTTAGAAATTCTGATAATAAATCGAAATTCCTTTGATTTCCTACATATTTTATTTTGATCATTTTCTGAAAAATCTTTACAATTTATTTTTGATTGATTAAAACTAAGTGCAGAAAAGAAATGATTCGGAAAAAAAAATGATTTCAGATACTTTGAAATTTCTATGGTAAATTAAGATAATTTTGATTTATTATATAATTCATAGAAATGTAGCGAACGAAATTATGATAATTGAAATGAAAAAAAAAGTTCTTATATAATTGTATTTCGTTCAGGAACTTGCGGTTTCGCAAGAATTTTCGTTACAACAAAACGTTGTGATTAGCAATCGCAATGAAGGTGGTGTTTCCTGTGCGGTGAGATTACCGCTCTGGCGTTAAAAAAACATTACGAAGAAGCCGGCAAAAATGGCCCACGACTCGTACGATGTGCATGAGCCGACGGCGCCTCGTCGTCCCAAGAAGGACGCCTCGTTTCGCTCATTCCTCTGCGTCATCCTCATCTTCTTCGTGTTGTGCGTACTCCTCGTCGTCATCGGTAATTGGCCCAGGAAATCGCAGGAAGCACCGGTAAGTAAAATTGCGATTGTTTTATGCGTGTGTTAAGCGAATGGTTTCAGAAGAAGGATGTCGAAGTTATCAGCGAACACGACGGTCGAGAATTCGAACGAATTTATAAGCTCACGACGCAGGAGAATCCAATTTTGACTACAGTTTTGTTGAGAAAGTTTACGACTACGACGACAACAACCACGACAACAACTACGACGACCCCGAAAACGGTGATCCAAGATGAAGAAAAAACTAAGATTTCGACTACAACAACGCCGAAAAATGGCCTGATTGAAGATTCTAAATCTGGTTCTACTATTGAAGATAATACAGCTAATAACACAGTTGTAGATGAAGAAAATTCTAAGAAAGAAGAAACGAAGACGTTGACGACAACACCAAAAACTGGTTTGATTGAAGGTACTAAATCAGGTTCCATCATTGAAGATAAAAAAGAAGAAACGAAGATGTTGATTTCGACAACAGCGCCGAATATTGGCGTTACTGAAGATAACAACACTGATCGTGAAGAAAAAGATGAGAAAGAAGAAAGGAAAAAGCTGACAACAACTGGATTGATTGAAGATACCAAATCTGGTTTCACCACTGAAGATAACATCACCTACGAATCGGTGAGCCAGGATGAAGAAAAATCTGAGAAAGAAGAAACGAAGAAGTTGACCACGACAACCACAACACCAAAAACTAGCCTGATTGAAGCTACTAAATCCATGATTGAAGACAACACCACCAATGATAAGAAAGAAGAAACGAAGACGAACACTACACCAAAAACTGACCTGGTTGAAGCTACTAAATCCGATATTGAAGACATCACCACTAATAAGACAGAGGTGAATATGAATGAAGAAAATGGTAAGAAAGAAGAAACGAAGACGTTGACCACTACACCAAAAACTGACCAGACAGAAGATACCAAATCTGGATTCTTCACTGAAGATAACAGCACCAACGTAACGGTGATTCAGGTTGAAGATAAATCATCACCAAAAACTGTCCTATTTGAAGGTACTGAATCAACTATTGTAGACAACAAAACTAAGATGAACTTGAATGAAGAAAAAGCTAAGAAAACGTTGACCACTACACCGAAAACTGTGGAATTATCGACTTTAGAGTCTTCTTCGGTAGATTTGGAGTCGGATACAGAATCGTCGATTGAGACTACTTCGAAATTGACGACTGCACAATCGAAGAGGGACAACTCTGAATCGAAGAAATCCAAGAGGAAGAGCTACAACGATGAAGATGTATGCGAAAAGCCGTCCTGCAAAACAGCCGCCTCTCGGATGCTGTCTTCCATGGACTTTTCGCAAGATCCTTGCGAAGACTTCCACGCCTACGCTTGCGTTAATTACCGATCGACGTCGCGCCGTTTCGAAGATGACGAACTCTTCAAGTTGATGATGAAAGCCGAAGACCCAATTCTTCGGAACTACAAGGAGTATTACCAAAGCTGCACGCAGTTTCGTTACGATTTGAACGAAGCAGCTCGAATGAAGCAACGTGAGATACATATATAAACTACAAAAAAATGTTCATTATTACAAATAAATCCCATTTTCTTGCAGTGGAAAACGTGATTGTAAAATACAGCAGCAACTACAATAAGTTTAAAATGTTCGCGAAGGCGATGGCCTTGAACCATTTTCATTTCGCCGAAATCGGAGCTACATTGGGATCCAACTCTACACCGATTCTACAGGTATTTTTAACATGAAATTGTGTGGAAATAAACGCTGATATTTGTATTTAACAGCTACGTCTTCCGCGACGAATTCCGGAGTTGTGGTTGAATCCTCAAAAGTGTCGAAGCTCGAATTTGCAAACATCAATTCATAAAACAACTTGCTCCAACGATTGCCTCGAGGGTCGATCGCAGTTCGATGAAGTCCTCGGTATGTTCTCTGCGAAATTCCCGAACAAACTGGAAAATCAGTTGAAAGAAATCTGGAAGGTAAACGTTTAATAATCAATCGTTAAAAGTGCAACAGTTAATTTTTTGTTGTTGCAGATTTACCCGAAACAAATGAAAATCAACGAAGAAATGAATTTGGGAAATAGCAAATTGTACACGATCAGTGAGCTGCAGAAAAAGTGGTCCCATTTCAATCTGCTGACGGTCTTTCAGGTTTTGGACGTCAGCATGGAAGCAACCGTTGAGGTATTCTTCGAGGATTACTTCCACGAACTGTTAACAATCTTCAGCACAATCGATACGTGAGAAGTTTAGTTAATAAATGATTACAAATAAATAATTGTGTAATTTGTGAAAACAGGGATTTCTTTAAGAATTACATTGCTTTAAGCATGTTCTACGAGCTGATCGTGAAGAGACCGACCGAAGACGTGGACAGTTACTGTCTGCGGGAAGCCACAGAAGCCTTCAACGATATCGCATCTTACTTGTACTTGGAACACGTCAATATTTCTTCGAGCGTTTCTACCAAACTGCCGGAACTCTTCGATTTGTTAAACGACATTCTGATGGGAGGTTTGGATCACGCTAAACAAGTTATGGACTTGAAAAGCGAATATAGACCGAATTTGAGTCTGGTTTTGAACGACAAAAGCAATGGCCCGAAACTTGATGATATCACGAAGAAGTATTCTGAATTGAAGCTTCTGAGGAACACGTACGTGGAAAACTACTACAACGTTGGGTTAATCAAGAGCAGAAGTATATTTAATGCAGCCAAAGGAAACATGTAAGTTTCTATTATATATTACATATATGATTCACTGCGATTTCCTTACAGATTTGGAAACCTCGTCAACAGCTTTGAAAAGAAACCGGTCAGCTTCTACTTAAGCAATAACATCTGTAATTTGTGTCTTTTTATTATCGAAATTTGGTTTGATATCATTTGTGTTTTTTGGTAGTTGTTCCTGCGGGTAGCTTGATCGAAGCGGCGAAAGTGCCGAAGAATCTGCTGACTTGGAAGGTGGTCTTTCCTCTGACGATGGCGATGGCCAAGTTCTTCGATTATGCCTCCTCCAAGAACTTCATGGATGCAGCAGAGAAGAAGGATAACTATAAAGTGGACGATGATGGTGCAATAGAGGAAATGGAAATGAGCGAAGTGTCGGCAGGAAATACGGCACTTCTTCTACTCGAAATGGCGATACACAACACTACGGACGACACGTTTTTCGGCGGCGATGCGAAGAATCTGCCGTGGATCTCCAACAATCACACGAGACAGCAGATAATGTATTTGGGAGTGGCGCAAGGTGAAAACTTTCTTATCCTAAAATAATTTGAAAAAATAATTTGTATTATTTTCTTTCAGAATACTGCGAGGATCTGCCGAAATTGGAGAACAGATTGAGATCGTGCCAAGGTCCTTCGATTCCTCCCGAGAAACGCGTCAATATGCTTGCAAGAAACTCGATGCCATTCAACCTCAACTATAACTGTGTGGAAGGATCCGCGATGTACAAATACGAGTTCGTTTATCAATTCCCATTGAACATTCTCAGTATTCCGGAAAGTAAGGAGAATGTTGAGGACAATTAAGTTACGTTCTTTTTCAAACGATCTATATACTTATTAAATACCAAATATTTGTTCGTTTCTTATGTAGTAGTTAGTGAACAAAATAAATGTGGCAAAGCAAAGTAAATACATTTTCATGATCATCATTTTCATTTTGTTTCCATCAATTCGAAACTAAGATAATTTTAATTATGTGAAGACACAGTTTTTTTTTAGATTCTTACTTTGATTTACTTCAACTTTGAAAGTTTATTACGCGAAAACTTTAAATTACACAAAAATCAATTTTTTGGATATCTTTGTTTGTAATTCAAATTAAGTAAAAAGCTTTTTTACTTTGAAATTACTTTACGAATTCCAGAGATTTCACTTATGACTCAATCAATTCTTTACATATATTTCTTTAATATGCATCTTCAACTTAGTTTCTAGCTTTATTACTCTAATTAAGTAAAACACAAAGAAATGTTTATTAAATTAATTTAACTTTGAATTTGAAAGTTTGAATACTTTAAAAATTCCACGAAAATCACTTATGACTCATTCGTTTCTTTATACAACGATACCTCGCTTAACGAGTTTAATCTGTTCTGAAATTTCCGGATTTTTACTCGTATAGTGAAACACATTTTCCCATATAAACCCATGTAAATGTCGATAATACGTTCCATGTCAAAGGAAAAAAAAGTATAACTTGGTCTCGATTTTTAATGATTTTGCTTTTCATATCTATGGTTTTATTTGGAGACAGACATGTTATTAAATTTTGCACAAAAAAAGCACAAATATTGAACTTGTGTTCAGACATGTTTAAAAAAAATTTTGGAAATTTTGTGATTACAAACAACACTAAGATACAACTAGAATGACCACTAACATTTGTAACTGTTGTGTCCTGGGGTTAAGAAATCCTTGGACACCGTGGATTATCTCGTAGTTGTGGAGTCTTAGAGTCTTAGTTTATTAATATTAAATGCAATATTTTTAATTGAAAAGTCAACTATACATTAGTTGATCTCAGGGATTATTACTAAGAGTTATATTCTTCTCTTAAGTTAGTATTTAAGAAGTAAGTGCTCTTCCTTGGACTCTCCCAAGTAAGACCATGTTCTTCGTTGGACGCTCTTACTAAGACTTCTTCTCAGTTCAATCCCCTTGACTAAGACTTGCTATCTATTCGGTCCCCTGACTAAGACTAAATTATATAATACAAAAATGTGTTCATTTCAAAAAAGGGCTGCGTGGGAGAAAAGACCTTGTGGAAAATACAAACGTTTCTTTATCTAAGTTTTACCGAGACTTCTCTTGTCATCTTCACTCGTTATGCGAAACGTCGTTCGTTAAGCAAGTCATTTTTCTTACAATTCATTTTGTTCGTTAAGCGAGACATGTCTCACATCCTTTCTAATGTTATTATCTATCGAGTAATTAAGAATACTAAATTGCGTTAAGTCTTATTTTGAAGTTTTGATTTTAAACTTGAAAATTCAAAGATTAAAAATAAAATGTACTATTTAGTTAAATTGTCATAAAAGAAGCGTTACGATTCTATTTTTCCGCCATTTATTTTCTGTTGAGCTTATGTCAGATTAAAATTCTTAGTTACATAGCCAATACCAACAAATTTTAATTTATTGATAATTAAGTACTTTCAAAATTGCCATAAAAGTCTAGAATTAAAATAATAAATAGTAACGTTTCTTTTATGACAAACACAATTTTTAATTTATTAGGTCCCATTGTTTTTGACTTACAAAGATAAATGATAAAATTTATTGATAATTAAGTACTTTCGCAATTGCCATAAAAGTCTAGAATTAATAAACTAAATAGTAACGTTTCTTTTATGACAAACACAATTTTTAATTTTTTAGATCCCATTGTTTTTGACTTGGAAAGATAAATGATAAAATTGGTATAAAACTTAAAGAATCTTAAGAAAATGTGTTATCTTTTTATTTGTGAGTGTCATAAAAGAAGCGTTACTATTCTATTTTACAGCCATTTGTTTTCTGTTGAAGTTATGTCTAAATAAATTTCATAATTATATAGCAACAAATTTTAATTTATTGATAATTAAGTATTTTCGCAATTGCCATAAAAGTCTAGAATTAAAGAGGTTCCACTGTATTTCTTTCTTTAACATCCTTTCTAATGTTATTATCTATCGAGTAATTAAGAATACTAAATTGCGTTAAGTCTTATTTTGAAGTTTTGATTTTTAACTTGAAAAATTCAAAGATTAAAAAAAAATGTACTATTTAGTTAAATTGTCATAAAAGAAGCGTTACGATTCTATTTTTCCCATTGTTTTTGACTTGGAAAAATAAATGATAAAATTGGTATAAAACTTAAAGAATCTTAAGAAAATATGTTATCTTTTTATTTGTGAGTGTCATAAAAGAAGCGTTACGATTCTATTTTACAGCCATTTATTTTCTGTTGATGTTATATCAGATTAAATTTCATAATTATATAGCGAATATCAACAAATTTTAATTTATTGATAATTAAGTACTTTCGCAATTGCGAGGTTCCACTGTATTTCTTTCTTTAATAGACATCTCTAACATCCTTTCTAATGTTATTACATATGGAGTAATTAAGAATAATGCAAAGACACTGATGAATGTTGACCGAATAATTATTGTAATTAGTCTTGAGGATGTGTTAACCGTTTGCAAGTGACTCCCTCTCTTTTATATTGAATGAATTAATCCATCCCGATTGGAATCGGAAGTGCGTCGAAATGCAAGGGAACGAGATTACGTAAGTAATTTGCGTGTGTGATTCAATTTAGGTGGGATGGGGGGTCGGCGATAAGAACAAGGGATGAATAAAATTAAGTGCGAATGTGCATCTGCGAGAGGGGGGTGCAGCGAAACGTGCGGTGTGCATGAAAGAAAGGGAGATGATGATGATGATCGTGGTGATGATGATGATGATGAGACAAAGTCGAAAGGCACGGGTACAATCAGTGTTTATAACTTCATAAAAGACGAGAGAGGATTGATTGAGTGAGAGACGCGCGGTCTCTGATTGAAGGTGAAACGAAGAAGAGACGTCGCGCACCCTCGCGTCTGCGAACGGAAACAAACCATTACACTTTGGGGTAATTGAAAATCCATTTTACTTTTATCACTTTTCCTGCATCTCCAATCGAACGTGTGTGTGCGTGCGTGCGCTTTTATTTTCCAGTCTTTTTCTTGGGAAAGAGGTGAAAAGCTCTCCTTCCTTTAGCATCCTTCGTCGGTTGTTTGGAGGCGATATTTAAGCCGACAAGTGTTCGAGATTAAGTTGCCAGTCAGCAGTAGCAAAGTGATTAATAGTGGCGGCTGGCGAAGAGGGGTGGCGGCGGCGTGTATAAACCCAGGACCGAGCACTTAATTAATATCACATCACTTTCCCAGCTCGGATATATCTATTGCTATGTTTAAATATGAATTATGCATGAAGCACAGCCGCCTCCACCGCGGATTTAAATCGTCCTAGATGCAAACGTCTCGATACGCACCAGAAATTATATGTATCTTCGCATGGCGATCGCGCTTTAAATTTTTCCTTCTTCACATTTTCTTTCTGTTTCCTTTTTTTTTTTTTATTCATTCCATACATATATTTATCTCTTTCCACCCGCACTTTATTTCCGCAATAACTCCGTCCGTCCGATATTTATTGCGTCCCAGATAAGCGCGTTCGTAATTTGAAAAACACCAAAGGAAGACAAACGCAAACAACATTATTTTAAAGGAAATGTATTTTTAATTTCCACTCAATGAGTTTATTATTTTAACAATTCAAGAAGTTTACTTCAATTCTTCAATTTAGTAAATTGCGTTAAGTCTTATTTTGAAGATATCATTTCCAACTTGAAAATTCAAAGATTTAAAGAAAAAAAATACTATTTAGTTAGATTTTTTGAGTTGTCATAAAAGAAGCGTTACGATTCTATTTTTCCGTCATTTATTTTCTGTTGAGGTTATGACAGATTAAATTTCACAGTTACATAGCGAAAATCAACAAATTTTAATTTATCGATAATTTAACGCTTTCACAATTACGATAAATGCATGGAAATTTAAAGAAAACAACAAAATAGTAACGCTTCTTTTATGAAATGCACAATTTTTAATTTTTGAGGTCCCATTTTCTTGACTTGGAAAGATAAATGATAAAATTGGTATTAAATTGGTATAAAATTTAAAGATTCTTAAGAAAATGTATTATCATTTTTATTTGTGAGTGTCATAAAAGAAGCGTTACGATTCTATTTTTCCACCATTTATTTTCTGTTGAGGTTATGTCAAAATAAATTTCATAATTATATAGCGAACATCAAAAAATTTTAATTTATTAATAATTAGGTACTTTCGCAATTGCCATAAAAGTCTAGAATTAAAATAATAAATAGTAACGTTTCTTTTATGACAATCACAATTTTTAATTTCTTAAGTCCCATTTTTTTTAATTGGAAAGATAAATGATAAAAATGGTATAAAACTTAAAGATTCTTAAGAAAATGTGTTATCTTTTTATTTGTGAGTGTTATAAAAGAAGCGTTACGATTCTATTTAAAGTATAGAATTAAAAAAAATAAATAGTAACGTTTCTTTTATGACAAGCACACTTTTTAATTTCTTATGTCCCATTTTTTTTTTACTTGGAAAGTTAAATGATAAAATTGGTATAAAACTTAAAGATTCTTAAGAAAATGTGCTATCTTTTAACTTGAAAATTCAAAGATTTAAAGAAAAAATACTATTAAGTTAGATTTTTTTGAGTTGTCATAAAAGAAGCGTTACGATTCTATTTTACAACCATTTATTTTCTGTTGAGGTTATGTCAGAATAAATTTCATAATTATATAGCGAATATCAACAAATTGTAGTTTATTGATAATTAAGTGCTTTCACAATTGCCATAAAAGTCCAGAATTAAAATAATAAATAGTAACGCTTCTTTTATGACACTCACAATTTATAATTTTTGAGGATTAATTTCCTATGTTTGGCGAAATAAATGATAAATTTACATGTATAATGAAAGTATATTATGATGGTGTGTGGACAACTTTATAATTTGCAGAGACGATTGAAACAATTAACGGTGAAGAAAACGATTC